TCCCTCCAAACATTTTCTCATCGAATCTACACGATTCACGTAGGTCACCTATTTTGGTTTCAAAACGGCGAATTTCGCCGAAAGGTGAGTGATTTTCATGTCTGAAATGTGCTGTAAATAAGGTAAATAAACAAATCTATAAAGTAACTAAACATGTTTTTATTCAGACTGGTGTGAGCACTGAGGATGAGGAGCCCAGAGCTGAATCCTGGAAACGGTGCCATGGATGAGACGCTCCATCTCTCCACCGGCCCTTATCGCCTCAGATTGTGAAGCGCAGCGCAGCAACAAGCTCCGGCACGAAGGCACGGTCACCTCTGGTGAATTCATCAGAATAAAGCCGCAGAATGGGAGCCGCTGTGTTGAGATGGCAGTATGTGGGGTTCAGCGCCTGAATACATGCTTGTAGTTTGAATAAAGATTTGTTTCATGTGTTGTTGACTTGTATATGCATTTGTTTATTGTGATGGTTACTTTTATTTGTTCTTTTACTCATTTATTCATGTTTCTTATTGTTGTCAGTATATAAAATATAATTATTTAATGTATGCATTAATTCATTGCTTGACTGACAATGGAGATGTTCACGTGTATTCATGCATAACTGTCATATGACAAAACAAATTACATTTTGCTTGTTTTATTAAATTATATCATTTTTAGTATATAAAAAAGTAATATAATTAAGTATTGGTCAGCATTTAATATTATTTTGTTTAAGTTTTGGGGTGGGCTAACAATGCAATTAATTCTGAGGTAATATTAATTTTTAAGGAGCGATACTTACATTTTTCGAGTATAAAGTCAACAGTTTTCTCCAAAGGAGAGATCTTCGAGCAGCGGCCCGTCTCCTTGTGCAGACATTACAAACGCAGAGGAAAACTGAACCTGTCGCTCATATAATTTAAACTTATAAACTTATTACAAAAAGATCATGGAAAGATACTTGTATCTAACAATGAACAATCATAATGAGAAAACATAAAGATCATTGGTTTGTGTACATCATAATATGATATTTATACACAGGAAAAAAGAACAATATTAACAAGGCTAAATATCTTTAAATAGTTCTTCATAATACATTAAAAATTGTTTTGTTGTTATAAGTCTGAGGGATGAAAAGAGAGGTAAATTCATCAAGAAAAGAGGAAAACTTAATGGAGAAACTTTTTGGGTATAAAATAAAGAAATTAACAACATATTCAAGAGATGACGATTTTGGGGTTTCTTAAAAAAAAAATCGTTATAAGGATAAAACTGTGGCTCACATAACATTAGTAGGCTTTAAAATATAACAACTTAAATCAACCCTAAATGTATTCACAAAATAAATTGGCAGCTGTTTCTTCAACAATACCACAAAATGAGCAAGTTTCATCAATATCAAGATATTTACAGATAGATTAATTAAACGTGTCGTTCATCTTTTAAGTTGTTGCGCTTGTGATAACGCGGCGTAGGTCACATGATAACGTCAACATGGCGATGATGTCCGGATCGCATTCATACTCAACGAGATTTGGCTATAAAGTACCTACTCTTTTAGCGCTCGTTAAGTAAGTACTCATTGAAATTAAGTACCTACTCATTGAGTATGCGGTTTCGAACACAGCCAATGTATCTAACACTCCCTATACCTCCCAAAGTGAAAGAAACACACTTTAAAGTAATGAACAACATTTACCCCTCTAAAGAATTACTGAGACTTCGCTTTGGTATAGATGATAACACATGTACATTCTGTGAAAATGATGTTGAAACTACGGACCATAGTTTCTCATGTAATGTTATACAGATATTTTGGTGTGATATACATAAATGGGTTAAGCAAAGCAACAGATGTCTTCATTCCCAACCTCTATCTCCAATGACGACATAACATTTGGAATGATATTGCAAAGCAAGAGTGATGAGCTTTGTACTACTACAATTGTATGTCTAGCAAAATTTTTCATTCACAAGTGTAGAATTGTAAAATCATCTCCCAAATTTGTTTTTTTTTTTTTAAATGAATTTAAACTGTATATAAAATCCTTAAAAATTCTGAAAGGTCCTAAAGCACAAAAAATATGATACCCTAAAACACTTCCCAACTGAGGTGAATAGCTGAACAAAGACTGAATTCTCCCCTTATGTTATAATTTCTTACCGTTATTTATTTGAATTCATTTATTTATTTATTTATTTTATTACCCTTTTATAAATCATCCTTATTCTTGTTACTAAGACTACATACTGTATATATTTCCTGTTTGTATAAGAGCTGCTCCCTCTGACTATATTTTCTCTGTATCCTATTCTGAAGAAACGAATTTTATGCAGCCATGTTTGTCTGTAAATCTTGATATTTTCAATAAAATTTAAAAAAATAATAATAATAATAATTTAAAAAAAAGCTCTCTCGGGCTGTGGGCGGGACTGTGGTGCTCTATAACCATAACCATAAGTTCCCGCCTCCTCAACACAAGTTGACCGATAAATCTAACGCACCAAGAGAGGCGGGACTTAAGGCAGAACAGCCAATCATCAGCCGGTCACACTCAAAGCCGGTGTCATGTTTGAGAGGGAGGGGGAGAGGAGACGCAGCGAGCGCAGACACAGAGCGGCCAGAGAAACGGAGGAGCGACTGTAGTAAGGCGTTTGTGCAAAACTGCGGGGAAAAGTGCGGGTGTGTTGAACCCTCTCACCGGGAAAAGTGTGGGTGTTAAAACACCCACATCCCCCACGGGTGCGACGCCCCTATTGTGTGTAGTAAATGGTGTCTAGCGGATGCGGAGGCGCGCGCGCTGTTACAATCACGTCATTTTTGCCGCGCGCACCTTTGCGCTCATGCGGACGCGTCGAGTATAAACAAGGCTTTACGCTTTAACCAGCTCAGCCACAACCCTACAGCATAACAGCTCATATTAGCCAGCTACACTTTTACTACCCTGTTAGGGAAAATATATAGTTGCATAGTTTCATGTGGTTCTTCTCCCTCGCTGTATTATGGGTTTGCTATGTGGGGAGAAATGTGCTGGTTACGTTCGTGAGACAATATACTGTATAATATAATAATAGTAAGTAATCAGCTGATTAAGACCCTTGATCCTCATCTGACTATGGCTTTGTAAACTTTATCCATGATGTAGTTTATAATGGACGGTGGTACAGAAACAGTGACAATGTTACTCACTCTTGGCTTACTCATGCCAGAGCCATAGAGAGAAAGAGTTGCGACACTCCCATAGACCCCAGTAGTAGGCCTATGTTCCTGCACAACTGGAGGCTGCAGTTTCAGGACCCCAGTTTTAGGACCGCAGTTTCAGGACCCTAGTTTTCTGTGACAGCGCCACCTACTGAACTGGATTATATGGCGGCGGCTGCGGTTTCAGGACCGCAGTTCTAGGATCCAGGTGGTTTAGTTTGTAGTATCAAGATCCACCAATTATCTTAAGTCTTGTTAGAATATATATATATATATATATATATATATATATATATATATTTTTTTTTTTTTAACAAATAAGATTATGGAATAGAAAAGCTCCTGCAGCAGGTGGACTAGAGCAAGTAGCATCAAGCTACATGACACAATTTAAAAGATTAATATTACACTTTTACTTAAAGCTCACTTTAAACCACCATCGAGTATTTGTATCATATTCCGGTCGCGGTTTAAAATGGTTTTAAGTCAAAAAGATATGTCGAAATATGTTATATTTAGCATTTTATATGCAGCTAATGGCTAACCCCTTGCTTAGCAATACTGTAAGCATTCTTTATTCATATGAAAATATCCAAAATCACACGAAAATCGCACACAAACCACATATACTCTTTATTCATATGAAAATATCCAAAATCACACGAAAATCGCACACAAACCACATATACTCGAAATCGTGCATTTATTAGCTTCTTGTTTCAGGTGAAGAGATCCCAGATAGCACGTTCAGTCTTGCCAACGTTGGCAATTGGAGGGCACCAGCGGCAAAGTATCGGGAGGGGATTTTCCCCTGCACACCAAAAAAACTTCGGTAGGTAAACCATCGGCGGGATGAATGTACAGCCACTCCAATGCATGCACAACTCCGGAGATCGGTGGAGGAACCGTGATGAACCATTTTGCCGATCCCGCTTCTTTTTTTCAAATAAATAATATCTGCGCAACCGTTGGTTCACGCGCGTGCACACGTTTTTATGAGGGTGCGCGTGAGTGATTTCAGCATCGTCTTCTACAGTCTACAGCTAAAGTCGACTACAGCATCGGTTCGGTGGTAATTAACGGACTCTGTGAGTATGTTTATCCTTTTCAAACACACAATTTTCAGTCCAGTAAGTGTTTACTTTGTTTTGTGTACTTATTTTTTTATTGAAAAATATAATTTTGTTAGAAAACGTCGAGTTTTCTGAGAAATGTTTTCGATACGGATGACAGAAATGGGCGGCGGAGGATTATTAACTTTAAATTACGTGTTTCTGGTTAGTTATTAACTAACTGTTGACTTTAGTTATTATTAACTGACTGTTATATGTTCTCGTATTAAATATTTTCAATGAGTTATTTTTGACAGTATGTATTTTTAGACATGAGGGGAACTCGTTTTTCATCAGTCTGAGGAGAGGTAACTTGACGTTAACGTTAACAAAACAAGCAGGCTAAACTAATAAACGGTCATAAAATTAATGGACTGACTTTTTTCCAAACAACAATGACATCTGTCCCTTTATAATATTAACCCCTTACACTTAAGGGATTTTTAATGATTTTGTTTAAGTGACATATGATTAAAATTAAAGCAGCTCTTTTGTTGTGCGTTTCTATTACCGTTAAAGGTAGACCTGTCAATCAAAGACCCAGTTTAGCACAAGCGCGCAGCCACTAGACAGTCAGACAAAGAAGTGGTTATGTAGTAAAGTGATAGTAAGTGAAGACACACAGCTATTCATAAAATAGAGCCTTAACCTTTGTTAGTTAAACAAAATAGAATGGTCTTTTCTGTTTTTTCAGTGAATTTTTGTAAGTGATCGATCTAGAAGTCATCATACAGTTCTGATTTGCCATGTTCTTAACATACTGTTTTAGTCAATAAAGATAAATTGAGTGCACATTAATTCACAAAGGCATTTGCAATATATTTGACTCCTTTTCATGTTTCTTCTTTTTCTCAACAGGAGCTACATACACCCCAAAGGCTCTTTTCAGAGCCCAGGCCCATTTTACACAGCGTCTTTGCCTTTGTACAGTAAGTATGTGTTTTAATTAACCTCAAAGACAACTGAAACACTATCTTTAATTAATCTAGTTAAAAGTTATTTTGCACATGATTTCCATTACACGAGAGTAGATGTTAAAACTTCATGCAGATTTGTACTCGGCTTTCGCCAAGATTAGCACAAACTAAGACGTAGCTTTACAGTAAACTATGCTTCTCCATCCATTTACACTTCTTTCCATATGTTGGTGTGACTCCCCTTCTGTCCGGCATTACGGCTGCAGTGTACTTGGCGCGTCAGCACACACGACGGCTGGAACTACAGCATGGTCTCCCCAGTGGACCAGCACCACAACCATCTGGATTGAGCCGAGTAGGGGACATCTCTAGGGTCTTCACATATTGATACACACGTATGTAATAACTTTCCCCTGTTTGCTTGTCTTGGTTATTGGCATCCTAAGATCCTAAAAAATGTGACCTTTACCTGTCTCTGCCTTTACTGTACTATTAATTTAGCATCAGGAAAGCCTATACCTTATAGTGGAGCGAGAGGACCAGTTGCAAGGGAATGGTTTACAGGTAGGCCAGGGCAGTAATGTAGTGGAAATATTTATCTTTGACCTAGATAAGGCTACAGGAGAACTCCATTGTCAACATCAGGTTAATGCTGAGTGCTGTAACGTTGCAAATTTTATGTTTATGTTGGTATAGATATTTGTCAACTGTCTATCACTGTCAATAAAAGGTATTTTTTGTCACTCAGCAAATATGATAGAGGCATGGCAAACTCAAATTTTTCCGGACGCGATAATTTACATTTGCATGCTTTTTTGTTTTCCTCGTCTCTCTCTGTCTCTCTATACCAAAGAGACTGGATGACAAACTCTCTGTTCCTTAGCGTGAACTAGAGCTTAGATTCTCTGCCCGAGCAAGGACTTGACCCGACCTGGGCCGACACTATCCTCGGGCCGGGCCTTTGATCTAGAGACGTGCACTCCCAACGCAATAGAGTGCGGCTCTGCACTAGATTCGGTAACCCTGTGTGTGCGGGTTGCGGGAGAATAAAACGATTTGCGGGACTCCCGCAAACTAGAAATATCTATTTATAAAACATATAAAAACTAATAGATTTTTAGTCATCTGCAAGAACAACTAAAACAAAATAGTAACGATTTACAGGCCAGAGTTTCTATTTATAACATGTTTGCATTATTGAGCGATGTAGCCAATCACAGACATGTTGATTTCTTGAACGCAATGGCCAATCAGAAGCATTTAAGATATACTTCCCTCACTGCTCAAAACAGACTTTTTTTATTCAGTGCTGAATTCTGTATGCTGGCAAATCCTCTAATTATAACAAACAAAGTGTAGATATTATGAAAGATTCATTGTGCAGTCAGCTTCATTGATAATAACAGAGACGCGTGAGATCGCGATGAACTGTCTGCTTTTTTGGAATTATTAATGGAGTGCATTCAGTCATGCCAGACCATGCACGCAGTAGCTGCTTGCTTTATGTTAAATTAACAGTGGTTTGTGTGTTAATGTTTTAATAACAAATAATTTAGGGTATGGTCAGGTTTTGTTTATAACCATTTTATTTATTGTTTTTGGTATTTATTCAAGTGCATTTTCTGTTAACCGGGACATTGCTTTTATTGTTTTTGGTTGTTTTGTTCATTTATTGTGTATATTTAAAAGGTTTTCCAATTTCAGTGAGCATCATATGTTGTTTGACTTTTTGATCATCCTCTTTGTATCACACAGAGTATGTCACCCATGTCATATTTCTCTATGTTCGATGTGATCAATATGAAAACTAATCTTTGTAAAAACGTTTCATTTACAGACCATTGCGACTTAGATCACCATCACCACCATCATCCCCTGCATCGTGCCCTTCATCAGACACCCAAAATGCACCACAAACAACACAGGCAAAGAAGAAGAAAACGCACAACAAATCTCCTCCAGCCCATCCCACATCATCGTATAGTAAAGGTAAGTGTCCCCTCTGTAGTAAAATGCATCAGGTCCCTAAACTCAAGTAGACACAGTGTACTGCACAGGTCCACAGCGCATACCATAGTTTGATGTTCCAGATATGATTTTTGAGTTTATATTGGTAGTGTGATAAGTAAGCCAAGGTTTTCTGTCTTTCCAAGAGGCCGCAGTTAATATTCAATAAGGAGGACTGGAGGACTGATATGGAAGCACATGGGTAGCAATATTCAATTTGAAATGTAATATGCAAAATGGCAATGCAATATGTAAAATGGCATTGCATTGTGTATTTAAATTTACATTTTACATTACCATTCTAGCAACGTTTGGTGCAAAATGAAAATGAAATTACATAATTTACATTTGCCATTTCATACACTAGTTTTAATATGCATATTGAAACGCTTTATAAGTGGCAAAATGAAAATGCATTACAGAAATGATTAGATATGTGTAGGGATGTCACGGTACCAAAATTCCAGTAGTCGGTACCGATACCATTAAAATGTTACGGTTCTCGGTACCAATTTCGGTACCACAGCAAAATCAGTTTGAACTATTTTTTTTATATAATTTATTTAACTATTTGAAAAAAAAATATATATATTAAATTCAATTCAATGACTTTATTATTTATGATGGTAAATTTATGAAAGGATTAAAGGCTACATGCTGTTTAAACGAAAATATTGATGATATTGAGAAATATTGCTTATAAAAAAAGTCAAGTGAAAAATAAGCAACCTTCTATGCACACATTATTATTATTATTATTAGTAGTATCTTTAATTAATGGAGACGTAGTTAAATCTATTGTACAGTAGCCTAATATAATTATTTCTGTCAATTTCTTTAAGTTAAACCAAACTTTTATTTTGACGGGTTGCCGTGAAGACCTTTTGAGTTTCTGTGCGTGTATGATATGAAGATAGTTTTTCTCAAATGAAACGGTTTGCTCATGAAGTGACTCTCGGAGATGAATGGAATCATGAATCATGTCATCATATCGTGAGGCAGCAGAGACTGAAAACAGCGCGAGCGTCACGTTGTGCTTCAGTGTGTGTGTGTGTGTGTGTGTGTGTGTGTGTGTGTGTGAGTGTGAGAGGTAACGTTTAATGAAATCGCGCGTCTGCGCCGTTCATTCACACAGAGACAAGCAGAACATGAAGGGTTCATATTTAAATAGTCTTTTTGCAGTGTAATATACACAGACACCACACCAGCAGCGCCGCTGGTCGCCATGTCTCAGCTCTTTCATGAAGAAGACACAACTTCACGCCCTTCGTGCATGCGCATCCAGAACCGGGTTGGGTACTCGGTACCACCGGGACTTGGTACCGTGACGTTTACATTTTTTTAGGGGTGGGAATCTCTAGGCACCTCACGATTCGATTCGATTACGATTCAGAGGGCTGCGATTCGATGCTAAATCGATTATCAGAATCTTTTTTTTGTGTGTGTGTGACTATAAATACTTTGCTTTAAAAGTACAAAGTAATGACCCATAAAGAATTAACGTACAATATATTTTATTAACATTGCAAAGAACCAACAGGAAAATACATGTGTGTCTGAACTAGCAGCAGCATATTTGTAGTAAATTAATAATATAACAACGACCGGTAACGTTACAGCCGAGTGTTTTTCCTCCTCTGGCTGGAAACGTGTCATTTGGCTTCATGTGTCTTGTTTCCGAAATATTTTAGTTTTACTCTGCAAAGCTTACAACTAGTGTGGCTCTTGTCCAGCTCCTTTCCCCCTTCAACTTCAGAAGCCAAAATATTTCCACACGTCAGCTTTTAACGAGGAGGGTGTTTGGATTTGGCGCTCAGCCATCGCGTCCGCGTCTGTTACGTGCACGCCACAGACGGTCCGGCCACTGCACTTCCGCGCTTCAGAGTTCCGTCTTTCGCGTTCCGTCAATATTACGTTATTATAAATATATATCTAAAAAAATTTTTTTTTTTTGAAAATCGATTTTTGACAATTGTGAATCGATTCAGAATCGTCCACGTCCGCATCGCGATGCATCTAAGAATCGATTTTTTACCCCCACCCCTACATTTTTTTAGTACCGACTTGGTACCGAAGTACCGAATATTTTGACAACACTAGATATGTGTAACATGTTCAAGCAAAAACTGTGGCAAAATGATCATTCAAATGTTACTTTTCTTAATTGCATTTACACACAGTCAAGACACTTGCGATTGCATTTTCATGAAATGTCCCGCAATGGATGTAGCAAAATTAAATGTGCACATTGAAAATGCATTCTGAGCCGATCACGCCCCCTCCTGCCCTGTCAATCACTGCATCAAGGCGGGGCTCGGTAACAACAGGTAAACATAACATGTTATGGCTATGTTACGTGTTTTGAGGTGTTGCTGCGGCAGAGCTAATTCGAGCGTTAAATTCTTTAGCAGATGAAGTGGAGCGTGAACAGAGAAACGGTAGTATTTCCGAAGATATTATACCCATGTGCTTCCATAGACTGAAGGCTTTCCTGACTGTAAGCCATTTAAAACGCAGACAAAGAACACACTGACACACACTTGCAAACACACATAGAGCACAGCACAGTTCTATGCAAAGTGGGGAATGACAGAAAAAGTTTGAGAACCACTGATGTGGAGTGACACTGGGTTAGCTCTGTTATTTTGACATGGGTTAAGATGAGTTGCTGCTGCTGATAATAATGTGTGGCAATTACTCAGCTCACTGACATTAGTTTATATAATTGTGATAAACTTGACTTACTGTTCACTCCAATAATTTAGTTTTTCTGTATTTTCTAGTGACGCCGCCGGATAATAAAGACGACTTGTGTGCTTTGCAGCAGCCACGCCACCCTTTTCCAGGGGTCCTTCAGAGAACTAACAATGGTAAGATATTTTACATGTAATGTATGCTACTGCACTTCTTACTCAGAACATCAGACTGAGTTAGTAGAAGTATATATTTTTTTTTTTTTTTTTCGTTTAGGTGCTGTGTTAAGAAATCCTGCCCAACAAAATTCCACTGAGGCAGATGTAGAGATGACTGAGAGAAACTGGCTGCGGCTGAGGAGGGACAGGAAGCAAGGGGGCGAGCATCTTAAAGTGAAATAATTGATTGGACTGATTTTTCCTGTTTACCTATTTTGGAGGGAATTTCTTTTTGTTGTTGTTGTACTTTTCTATGTGTGATTTGATGAGTGTTAAAATAAATGATACTGCTTTTGCAAAAACAAAAGTAAAAAATAAATGTTCAAGGTCATCTTCCGGTGCTCTCCTTTTTATTATTTCTCCTTTTTATTATTTTATTATTTCTTAATTTGCATGACCATCAAACTTAATTTCAATATCAATATCACTGATCCATTCATTTTTTATGTTAGACTGACATTTCCCAGGTAGTCAGACTGTGTATGAAATAGGCTACACCCTACAC